TCAAAAACAACACACCCCTCTCTATATATATATATATATATATATATATATATATATATATATCATCCTGTTGGGTTGAGGCAGGAATCAAATCTAAGCCTGCGAGGGGAAAGCACAATCTAACATGACGATGTGGAACACCATCTACTGCATGTCCGACATCAACAAGTTTGCTCTGCAGCCGCACTTGGATCTAGTGCCGTCCGAAGAGGGGTTTAAAAGCGATGCGGCCAAGTCTACGTAAGAAATAACATCGGAACAAACTGTTTTAGCTTCAGCAGCGTATTGTACATTTTTCTGATAGTTTGGTGGCCAAAAGGCTCCCCAAACAGCTAATTCAGACTTTGAGTGGTGGTTCTTAAACTTTTTCCGCTCATTGTCTTTCAAGCAAGAGGCCATTATCCTCCAGTGAAGCCTTTCAACAGCGATTAAGGTTGGGATTAATGGACAACGGTCGTACTAGAGTGGGCACTGTGTACCAGGAGCTTATCCGTAGGTTTGCATGTAGCTGATTGAAAAAGTTATGGTCGTATTTACTTGTGGAACCAAATCTGCTCTATCTATTCCGACAATAAATCGGGGAATTTATTGTGACAATAGTGACTTGATTGTATCAAGGTGGCTATCTTCTGATGGGTGACCGTTGCAGAGAAGTATGCTGCTGCGGAGTCTTACTATGTGTGTAAATGGTTAAGAAAAAAACAAAACAATTCTTCCGTAGTAATGCAACATAGTGTTATATGCACGAATATTAGCTACTGAAACTGGTTAATCTAGTGAATGGATTCCATGTTATAAATATAAAGCCGGCAGCCATTCAGAGAAAGTGCGAGATTCCCGCATTCCGAAAAGCGGTGGTTGTCGCCTTATTGTTGCATCCGTCTCACACGTACTGGTCCCGGTAACGCGTTGGAAACGTAATCAACGAAAGCCTAACTTATTCGACAATTCGAAGCGGTGTAAACGCGTTCCCTTCCCTACCAAACAGCCTCAGGACGATGTGGTGTGACCCTCCTGTTCCCCTGTAATGTATCAGAGTAAGGGGTGGATACCAAAGTTGTTCACAGTAGCTATTGGTTTATCAATCAGCACAGTAGTCTGTCAAGTGGGAAATGAGGTAATACTGTCATGTAAAGAGTGATTGAATGGTATTCGTTGTCAAACACGGCAGACGACATATTACCACAGCTGTCACACACTTTGGACAGAGTACAATGACATCTGGAGCACCAATATATAAACAACAACAAAACAACGGTCAACAAGGAAGACATGAGTGCATACATGCAGCTGTAGCACTCTCTCGGTGCCTAGCAACGATGCCACCCGAAGGAAGCATTAGGTCTAACACACTGCCAGGTTGTCCAACCCTAGGTAGGACTAGCCGAGATGCCGCGGTTGTGTGCGAACCACAAGCCCTCTGGTCAGTAAGTCCGCGTCTTGGCCACTGAGTCATCTCGGCTTATGAGTGCGTACTTATTCCAAAACGGTTGCAATTCACTGACTGAGCAGGCCTGTAAGCATTTGAGATGAGAACGAAGATTTTTTAAACAACTTGCAAACCTTCTGCGACGAGAGGAGATACACACTAACCGACATAACTTTTCAGTGTATAGAACACATTTCTATCGCCCCAACCACCCCCAAACCTACTCAACACATTTCAACAAACATGTGATACCCATCTTCAAACTTTGCTAATGGCAATGTACGGAGGCAGTCAATGCAAAGCCATCCGAGCTCTGACAGTGGCACCTACAGACGAACTTTCGAAGGCCGTTAGTTACCCTTTTAGCAAAAAAGTTAACATTTAGTGATAGAAAGATGTCACTCAACAAATAAAAACCAAGTGATCAAATTCAGGCCCCTAAGCAATCATAATCGGTTATAAAACAAATCAGTATTGTTTGTATAAAAAGATGGTTCGGAACTGTCTAAAAGTTCACATGCATTCACACCAGACAAGTTTCTTCATCTGCATTCAGTAGCTCAGACAAAAACAATTAATCGTAACAATGCTCTGGAAATAACCAACCATTTTCATTACAACTCGAAGCAGTACAGTATGGCGATCACAGAAGAAATAGGTAACATGAAGTAAACAAATCGTCCGGTCGTTAGTCACGAACTTCTTCATACAAAGTTTCTGTCAAGGTCATGTGTTACTTCAGCATGTAGGCGTTTCTTCAACGTCTAGTGCATGCAGGAAACTACTAGTAATAGTCACGTGGAACATGCAACTCAATGAATTAATCAGGCACGGTACTAGATTATGAGCATGGCCCGGGGATACGTAAGACGAACACAAGTTGGCGCATCGCGCATTCTTGATATTTTTCAAATAAATGCACACCATGATCACAAATTTTTAGCAATATACTTTGCCAAATAAGTAAATTAAATCTAATAGACGCCTGTTGCCAGAATATCTCTCCCCGTCAAATCGGAAAAATAGCCTAATAGTAGATGAGCGAGGAGAACGAGCAAAAGCCGGGGAGCATGATAGTCAGTACAAAATTCTATGGTGACTGACAAACCGATTACAAGTACTTAATCGTCATGAGTTATTTGAACCGGGGAACTGAGAGATTAGCTGGAACGCACGGAACCTGTTTAGGTTATTGTGAAATGTTTGAGCTTCGTAACTCGTAGCATAAACGCAACAAAGACTACTTAGTCTGGATATCGCGCGTGCCATTCATTTTCAAGTTTCTAGAAAATTAAACAGGTCTATGGATGAAATATCTAAACAGCAAACATAGCCGAAACTCTGGAAGGCGTAAATCTACAGTAGAGTTAGAAAACCGAAAGTGGATTTGTAGACGAGAGCGACAGTGCAAGGAAAGTCACTTTTCGAGATGTCCTAATCATGATCAAAGTGTGGATCTACTGACGGGTGCCCTAAATCACAAGAAGGGATTAAAGGGGCTGTACTGCGGTGAGATCGAACCGTGTATTCCGTATGTGACAATCGAAATCAACCCAGTCACGAACACTATGAAACGATAGCTGCATTATTCGATTATTTTGACTTGTGTTTGTCACCGATGAAACTAACACTGGAAGGACTTGGGAGTGCCATTAATCAAAGATTCCGGCTCAAAAGCCTGACTCGTATAAGACTATTAGAATGACCCAATGTTGAACAATAAGCCTTCGTATTTTAAGAACCGCAGAACAGTACTCGTTAAGGCGCAAACTTGCTGACCGGAACGCCCGTGGTTCGAAAGCAACCTCTGCATCTTGGATAGTATACAAGCCATCGTGCTAACATCGGGTGGCGTGGAGGCTAGGCACAGTGCTTGTCAGATCTAAATAACGAACAGGTGTTGTCTAGCACTCCCACTTGTCTCAACAAAATAAAGCTCAATGTCTATGTGAAAACTTTCTCTGTACCGGACACATAAAGAAGCATGCATGACTGAAATGCAACCAGATCTGTTGCCGATACTGCCGCTTGGACGTCTCTTCTATTAATACCTTTCCCTTGCAAGTACGGCTGTATAAGGTGATGAAAAATCTCACGAATCGCATCAGAAACCGTAGTGAAGTAGCTGAACTCAAACATGTCGCGAACATTGTTCTTTTTTACGCCCTCTACAAGGAAACAAGTACACACAGATCTAAATGACACTATAGCTGTTTGATGTTTGGAAAAACACGTACCACTGTAACCCAGGAAAGTGATGTAGTTGTAGTACAGCGCGGCGATTAGCCAGCAAGTATTCCCAACGAAGCGTCCTGCAAGCCCGTCAGATAAGATGACTGAATATAAGGAAAAATAAAGTGGAGGAAAGCGCCTTGAAATCAATTCATATAACTTCGTACACGAATCTATAGCGTAAGCGAATACTAGAATTCTTACTATGCCCTACATTTGGGCGGGGAATGAACTTTTTGCGGACGTAGTCAACAGTGCTTGAGCCTACATCTATTATACCCTGAGTGAGCAGTCACCTCGATATCTAGCACTTATGGCTGGTGAAAAAGGAACTGTGAAAGGTGCAACCACTGTATCGATTGTTGTTCTCCGTGCCTCTTTCAGAGCGGCGCAAACCGCAAGGTGGACAACGCATGTCTTGGCAGAAGGGCGTAAAAGAGATCACGAAGAGTTTGGGTGTTGTACGATTCCCAGGATGGGGTAACCGTGACTCCACCTGTGCTTGACTCGAGAAGTTGCAAGAAATGGCGGCTAATCGAAGTCACTGGCGTTCGTGCTGTCAGTTTCTTTCCAAATTGTCCGATTGAGTGTTAGGAGATGTAAGCACCTCAGAATTCTTGACATGTGTCAACAGTAGGTCCCCTGCTTCACCCACTCTTTTTCTCTTCATTTCACTTTAGGGCTTTAAATATGATTAGACGAACCTTATGATTGTACGGCAATGAGGCATTGGTGTCAACACTGGTGTTGCTCTCTTTGATGATGATGATGACTGTATCTTGGTACAAGGTCTCTAACTGCACATAGGTCTGCAAGTGATCAAATTTAAGATGCAACAGGCATAATGCTGCAAAAACGACGTTATGAAGATTGGATCAATGAGAATGTAGTTGTGTAACACATTACTACACACAGACTATCAGTAAAACTCGTGCCAGTTGGTCACCAACTTTAAACTGAAATGATAGACTGGCTTGTCTTTGAAGCGTTTGAACGTGCTGCGTGAACAACCTGTGGTCCCAAGAATACCTTCAGATGATGAGAACGCGGGAATTAAGATAACTTGACTCAAAACAACTGAATGCATCGTTCAAGGGGGGTTGCATTGCCACCCGTAAGACTTACAGTAGAACAGTGGTAATTGAAGAAGATAGACGAGCGCTGCTGGAAAGACCGCGTTTAAGTGAATATCGAAAGCATACGCCCATTCAACATCCTGGTTGGACTGTGTGTCAGGAACTTCCGAAAGTAAGTCCGAAGAGAACCGCCCCGATCGATCAATCAGTATTCGATTGGTGACAATCCAGAAGAAAGTGGCAGCCAGCAGTGCCATCGCGAAGAAGTCAAAGAAAGCCACCCACAATACAAACTTGATGCGGAGTTCAAGAGTGTGGAGAGTGAAAGTCGCGAAAATGATGCTGGATACTAGGGAGATGGAAACCAATAAAGTGACAGGAATCATTTAAAACACTCCTGACTCGGTTCGGTTAGCAGTTACGGGGTTTGAAAACTATAAAGCCAAGTAAAATGGAGGGAAACGGTTTACTATCATCTTACATAAACATCAAAAATGGAAAGAACCGAATGGCGTAATGCAACTTGACTGATTGGTGATTTGTAGCACGGTACACTTAAAATTTGCGGTTAAAATAATCTCCAACGCTAGTGTTAAAAAACTGCCTCCTACACATTCGACGATATCGAGTTCCAGCACATCGAAATGCGACCTGGGGAGCCGAGCAAAGTTGACTGTAGTCACTACGGAAGAACTAATTACAAATGCACAATAAAGGGTCTTTGGCACTCAAAATGCCTGTTCTGCTGCGCCCGAAAGCTGTAAACCCCTCAGCGACACAAATATTCAGTCCGATGGATAAGTAAATGTGATGCACGTATGAAGACTACTAAACTTGACTATTTCTGCATTGAGCTGTTAGGCGAGCCTACATACAACATTGGTGATGCTCAATAGATAAAACGGGGACATTCATGAGAGGAATGTCACCAGTTAAATGCATTTTTTGATGATCAAAATGGAAAGTTAAAAGTAGTTAAGAAGAAACCTCCAAACTTTAATCCATCAGTCCCATCCCAACGAATAATGTGGTAGGTATGAAGCTGATTCCGGGCCTAGGGTGAATCCCATAAGTGTACTATGGAAGTTCACCTCGAGTTTTCTCCCTAAAAGGGGGCTTGATTCATGGCTTGAGATACATCATTCTAGACAGGATCATACAACTAATCGTTACGATACACTACAGCACGGCTAAAAAGAAAAGTATGCAAACTCAAATTAACAAACCAAAATAAACCAGCCAACACTAATTCGCATTTTTCGGCTATTCCGAGGGACCAATAATTTGTATAAATAGACGCCCACTTGGAGCGAGACCCACATAAGATGCAAATAAACCCATGAATGAATTCGCGTCAACCTTATACTTGGTATCGTACGTTGAAAGAACCACCAATTTGTCGTAGCTTGGCCTCATGCAGTAGAGTCAGTGACGCACTGGCAGTTAGAAGCAAGATGCATATGGCTTGCCTGAATCAAGCTGAACACTATGTCGTTCCAATGGGATGACAGGAAAACAGTACAAACAGGCAGGAGGTCCAGTACCAGCAAATCATAAGTAAAAAAGCAGCATCAGTGTTGTTTACCCAGCAGTCATCGAGAATTTACCAGAACCACAGAGGATGGTTTTAAAGATGACATGCGCAAAGTTTGCTGAGTTACGTAAGGCTGGTCTCTTGAATATGAGAGCAAAAGTCCGCAACTTGAATGTCAATTCGGTTGTGGTTTAATTTTCAAAGTCGTATGTAGGTCAGAACGGCCGGGAACTGGAGACTTGGTGGAGGCCCCCATACTCAAAGCCATAACCAACATTCTTCCACCTGATAAAAAACGCACGGGCTAGTACAAGACCCTGTGGAGATGTTCAAGAAAATTTTCCTGGTATAAGTAACATGCTCCGAGGTTGTAGTCAGCCGGATAACGGCTTCGTTCGAATCGAACCTCAGAAGTTAGAATTCACCTTCAAGATATGACGCAATCAGCTTGCCGCGTGAAGAGAACTGATTTTAAGCAGAGGGCTGACTGTCTCAGATCCCGCTGGCTATGCCTACCCAACTACCCGCAAACCGGGCAAAAGAGGCGGTAGGTCGCCTGTTGAAATTAGGCAATCATCCCACACTAATCAGACCAAAAAAATTATCAAAGGTGCATGGAGGGGACTCTGGGTAGTCTGTGTGCTGTACATCATTCTGCAAGTGACCCCATCAGATTTCCAGTTCAAGCAATTTAGCCATGTATATGGATTTCAAAGAAACATCGACGTCAGGTACTCAGTAGTTAGGGGCGGGGGGGGGTACACTGCCGTCAAAATAGTGACAAGAGTACCCTGGTAATGAATGAAAGATAAAGCGATCAGGAGCAACGTGCCACGAGTTCAAAACAAAGGTGAAATACAATTTCAAAGAATCGTATCTGCAGGGACGGCATCAGTGGGAAGACCTATTGTGGTCTTCAAGCTCCCTCACAACCAACTACAGGAACACAAAGAACATTTACATCATCTTACCAAGGAACATAGTGAAAACCAAAACGAGGAATGCTGGGTCGTCACGAGCCCACTGGCGTCTGGAACCTACAAGACAATAAATCGCCTGCTGCCAAATGAAAGACATACAATTACGGTATTGGAAATTCCGGAACAGGCGTTGTGGAGTAAAAATTAGTTGGGCCATCTGCCAAAAAGCGTACTCAAAATCCATGTGCTTGAACTTCAACAGTCGGCGAAAGTAGCGGCTTCGTTTCTCCGCTGCAGATAGGATGCGATGCATCGAACCAGGATGACAAGGTTGTGAACAAGTGAGCATTTTCGTACAAACCGAACGAGGTAATGAGTCTGTGACGTTAATGTGAACAGAGGACATTGGTGGGCTGAAAAAGAGAATCAAGAAAAGTAAAGTAAAACCACCCCACGACCCCCAATTTTAACCCCGTCTAAAATCCTTCTGACCTTGTCAAAAAAGTCACCAGATGAAAGCGAAGTTAAAACTAAGTTAAACCAAGTTTTTAACCGTTGAGAAAGCCGTTCGAACAAACTTAGGTTACAAACGGGAAGTGGACGTCCTTTCCTAACACTCCCCCAAAGTGCCTTCAGTACACATCTTTTCACTACACAATCGTATTCACCTTAAGTAACGTTAATGTCTCTGGTTTTCTATTTCAGCTCATGTACTTGATTTCACGACATATAAAGCTGAGATAGCTCGGTGCTTAGAGCGCGAATTAGCTGACCGGGAGGTCCGTGGTTCGAACCCGACCTCTGCCTCTCGATTTCCTCTGTCTAGGCTTGGGCAACCTGGCAGTAGCCCAACCCTCGTGGTTCCTTCGAGTGGCATAGCAGTTAGGCACCGAAAAGATACCATAACTTAACGATTTATTTTTCCTTACCGACTAGTGACAATTTAGTCTTGAAACAGTTGTAATCACAACACATCTGACCAGGATGCTGCTCAGCACCGTCCCAATTGGCTTCACATTTTCAAAATATCTCTAGTCTGTCCCATCTCAGTCACCTTACAAAGCTGGATTAACTGGTTCAGATCCTTCCGCACACATTTTACCAGCTAATATCAGAACGTGCAACCTAGGACAATGCCGCTGACAAGCTTCGGCCTTCGCGCGTACAATCCCTAGCGACTGTTGATTTCCACCATATGATGACCATCGATTACAAGGAATCCGGATAGATTAATGATGAAGCTCTGTAGAAATTGGATTCCTCACCTGTGATTGCCTCTTTCAAGTAATATCAGTAGATCAACGCCGTAGTCAGTTTTTTCATGATGTCCTCAACCTTATTCATCCACACAGTAGCCGGTTAGACTATTACTTGACCTTACTGGCTGCAACTCTTGCCAAGTCGCTGAAAATAACCCAGAAACAGCCTCAGCGCTATGCGATTACGAATCATTGTTTAGCTTCCAGAGATATTATTCAGTCTTCATAATAAAACCGAAGCTTGGCTGCAATCCTTTCGTCTGCAACATCGTCCTTTTTCAACTGTGAACCATGTACAACAACAACAAGGTCTCTAGTCACCAACTAATAGAGACAAAGTTGACAGTGAACATGAAAACTGAAGGTGAATGAGTAAATAAACAGCGCCAATCATTCCATGATGCAGCCGTATTTGTGAGGATCCCCAGCCACTCGGTTCAGTGATACCTAGACCCGAACAAACGATACAGAAGACTGTGACGAATACCATGTTAAGTATTGTATATTTCGTTTGTACCTGTCAACTGTTGCACTTTCCTATCGCAATCCCAATGGGCAAAATAGGACCCATCTAGGCTTTCGAACGTGCATAAGACATGACTGAGAAAATGCATTCACTGGAGTCGTATCAAACTGTCAATTGAACATCTGGTAACGGTACGTCAAATATCATACGGCTTATGAGAGAATTGTAGATACGGTGCACTCACCACACATTTGCAATGGTCTGAAGACGTCAATGGTCGAATATAAGTAGTCATATTTTTTCTCACAAAAAAGCCAATTTTCACACCTGCATAAAAAAGAACTAACTGCACTAAGGAATGGCACAATCTGCCCTTCAAAGACAGACTGGCATCAAGTATCTACTTTGAAGGATAACCATGCAGGTCCCTTCTAATCGAGTGCTCATTTCGTCAGCAGTAATTCCAGAGAATATACACAAACGGCAGTGAAGCATCAGTGTTGAACACTGATGTCATGCTGTCGATGATGATGATGATGATGATGATGATGATGATGATGATGATGATGATACACAAACAGGTATAGCTGGGTTACATGGTTTGAGCTACCGGGGCTAGACTGGGTGGTGCATAAGCCTAATCTTGAAGTAAAACCTGAACGATATAAGGCGCATCCCGGAAGTAGTCGGGGTTTTGGTAAGCTCCAAGTAAAGCTGTACAATACCATAGGCGTGCTCTAAGGTGGCGATATAGAGGGTGGGAAGTAACCCGATTTCTGACGCAGTAGACAGTTGAACGAGTCCTTTATAGTTACTTCAATTGCGACGCTTTGAAATGGCGATAGAGCACCACCATGTCGATCAACAATTTTGGCAATAAACACACGTCGACAGATGTTAGAGTATGATGAGCAGAAAAGTGAGGATCGTGGAATTGCGCCCACTTGTGAGACAGCGACATAAAACATGGCGGCCAAATGAGTCAAAAGTAGCGAGGAGTCAACCAAACAATGACTATTAAATGGACGTAAGTGTGGCGATGTTCAAGAACAGGACCCTACCTGATTTTCGTTCACCTTGCTTGTCCACATAAAAGGAGATGCAAATCATGAAATACACACCGGTTTTAAGCAAAGAACAAAAGTGAACCGGGTAAGCCTCATACGCACGCCCAATAAATGCATCTCAGTTGAGTAAAGTAGTATCAGTACGAGAACGATTCTACATTTGGTACACAAGTTAACCTGAACGAGCCCACCTTCGTGCTGCTTCGGAACATTAGACAAATTATGCTTTCCTCTTTCACTAAACCAAAATAATCCAATTGGAATTGTATTGCATCGATAGTTTGATGAACTCGATGAACCTCGGCTCCGATAAACTGGATCAAAACACTAGTTTCTCGTCAAATACTGCAGGTTCATATTTAATGTTTTGCTGAGGTCTATCCAAGGGGAACAGAAAACATGCATACCCCCATAATCCACCAGGTAGGTGTATTCCCTCCCTGGGTTGCTCTTCATTATAAAACACCCCCATCAACCTACGCACTGAGCTATGCCAGAGAAGGCCCCACCAACCAGACCGGTTAAGAGCTCCACATCATGATTACCCATCGCGACAGACAATACACACGCAGGAGTCTACTGATGCCCTTTCCTCCTTGTTGACTACTTTGAACCATCACTCATGGTTTAGTGCAGTACGAGGTGCAGCCCGCCACATAGAGACTGGTGTGGCGGTTTGTGTAACTCGGCGACCCATTGAGCTATAGTGGGGGGTGTCCGCGCGACACTCACAGTCTCTCATACAGGTTGGTCCATGGGTGGAGGTCCGACGAACACAGTCTTCTGGCCTTCCAAGTTGGGTTCAGAACATAAGTATCGACGTGTTCAGTAGAAATGGTGACGTACTTGCATTTTCAGCCCAACGCCTCTGCCATGTGGTTGGGCTTTTGGGTCTAATACTTTGGCTGAGGACCCTAAACGTCCTCATGTCTAGGTGTGGGTGCCCTGGCAGTATCCTAGCCCTCGTACAACCATGACATTCACGACTAACACTGTCATGCCACATCGGCCGTCGCGTGGTACCACCAGCCCTACTTGCTGCATACAGTAGGGCAGGTAAGCGAAAACATGCCACTGCTGACGCGACTTCTTACACTTTCACGTTTTCGGTCTTTCACCCCTCGCTGCCCGAATTTGAATACTTTCTCCGCGGGTCCCGGCTCTAAGACTGACCGGTTTGCTCGCCCTGCATCACACTCAGTTGCAGCTTCTGTACGCCTGAGTCCAGCCACAACTGTAAGCACTTCGAAGTCTGTTTTTAAACCCCAAAATCTGTCTAATTAGCCACCTTCAATGTTCCCAACTGAAGCAAGCAGGTCAACAGGTGGCTCTTCCGCGTACGCTGGATTCCATCTACATTGATGCACGTTGTCTGCCAGAAACAAGGACGCGAGTGCAAGTACTGTGATCAACCTGATTGCCCCTTGCTCTCTTCCAGATTGCGGCTGCGCACCTCTGGTGGTACAGAGGCAGCTGGATATGCTGGGGTGGGTACTGCATTGAGCGAACGAGCGGAAGCGTCTCTGCTTGATTAGATAGCCGCTAATAGTCGCCTCTGTGCGATTCGTTTGGCAACATCTATGAGAGAACCTTGAGGAAGTGAGGCTCATCACACCTTGCTTATTGTGTCCGTATATACCCCAACTGACTGCAGCTCTGAATCTGCCAAGGACAGTTTATATGAGGGTGAGGTTCGCAAAGGAGACTGGGTCAATCCCGCTGATCGTATCTTTATTCGACAAGACGCTCATAAGTGATTGGTTTAACACGTACGAGACTGAAGCGGTTAGCAAATCCACTATGTATAACTAACAGCCATCTATCGGTGAAAGGAGTTTTCAACAACGAACTTTTGCTGGCGGAAGGCTCGTGGGGGGAGTGACTGATGGACAGGGCAATATTGCGGCTACTGTCAAACGGAACGGTGTGGAATCTTCACGCCCAGCTGGTTGGAGTCTGCATGACTCCTCCCGATAGAACGCCCATAAGCGTCAATTTCGTGCTGTGCACATTGTTCTACATCGCATTCATATGAGCTAAGCTTATGACAAGTCTTAAGGCTGCAGTAAGTCCATGACATCATGCCTTTTCCCCTCTGTTGACATTCGTCCACACGGTTGTAGCCATACAACTTCCACGACAGTCAAACACCAGAATCTATTGGTTCGTCTCTTGAACCAAAGAAATCGTGACGGCGATTCGTTATTCTGAATGGCTTTTTCGTGAATTCAACCGACAACCGCGCTTCGAATGTATGGTGCACTTTAAGCTATATGTAATTTGTACAATATACATATGGCTGAAAGTGCGTTGGACGAGTGCTGTACAAAGGACACTTCCAGAAATTTTCCATGTCAGGTTCTACCTCGAAGCAGAGTAATTCTGCATCCAACTAAGTTCACTCTGGTCTCATTACGGTGGCTACTTCATCCTCTCTTTCGAATCCCGCATGCGTCAATTGGATTCAACTTCAGAATCTCGTGGAAAATTCGTCCTCGTCGTCCGTCGTCAGGCCGAATCCTAGGCACAAACCTCCCCACCGCTCACCTTTAGGCAGTGCAAGTTCTCACGGCCCAAAGTCCCAGCGATGCGCAGGGAGACGGGTCATTGGCAGACCAGCGTGCAGTCGAGTCCCGATTGGCCGAAAATATGCACAAAATGGATGAACGAATGAATGGATCAACGAATGGATCAACGGACTATTACACGCGGCGAACAGTAAAGGCATGCCTAAAATTGCTCTGAAACCACAGTTCGAATAATGGAAAGTCTTGTGTAATGTTTTGGCATTCAACGCTATTTGTTCACGGATTCACGGATTGATACACAGGATCGAGGCTATTGCCCAAGTCTCCCGGGTCGGTTTTGTTCTTGTCGGTTAGTGGCTGTCGTTCACCTGAAAGGCACAAGTGAAAAAAGGGNCGCTCAATGAGGGTAACGTCTTTTGTACGTCCTGAGTAGACAACTTGGTTGGCGTACTCCAGGAGCGGTCTGACGTAGGCCCCATAGAGTATTTGGAAGTCCATGCGAGTAATACGGGAGAAGGTACGTCGGATCATCCGTAAAACGGCGAATGCCTTTTGGGCCGATTTCTCAGTCGAGTCCCGATTGGCCGAAAATATGCACAAAATGGATGAACGAATGAATGGATCAACGAATGGATCAACGGACTATTACACGCGGCGAACAGTAAAGGCATGCCTAAAATTGCTCTGAAACCACAGTTCGAATAATGGAAAGTCTTGTGTAATGTTTTGGCATTCAACGCTATTTGTTCAC